GCTGCTTAAGTAACAACCCTTCACTACCTGAATGGCCACAAGAGGATATCACTATGAAATCAGCAAGCTGAAAAAGCACACAGGTTAAAAGGCCAATCTTCTAACCACGAATTCTATGGGAGAGAGGGAAGACAATACCATGCAAACCATTTAGGTAGTCTTAGGATTTTTTTCTGTTTATAACACTTCTGACACAAAGAAGGGGAGATTCCCACACCAACCAATTCTCGGACACCAGCTGGGTGTCCTACAGTTCAAATCAATTCTGACACTATCCATTGGAAATTAGCATCAGACCTCACAAGTTAAGGGCTTAGTCCCACATGACTGTCCCCACTTCAGATGCCAACTGTTAAGTCCTGGGCTTCCAGTACTTCTGGCCAGCCACCTGTAAATCAAAGGGTTCCCATGACCCCCTCCTTCAGGTTCCGTAATTTACTAGCATGGCTCACAGAACTCAGAAAAACTTTACTTACATTTACTGACTTATTACAAAGGACGTAACTCAGGAATAGCCAAATAGAAAACATACATAGGGCAAGTGTGATATTATGATATAGATAGATCTTCATCCTGTTTCCTGGCCTGGAGCTCTTAAACATAAAACAAGCTCCAACGAATTTAGGAAGACTAAAATCATACAAAGTATCTTTTCAAATCACAATGGAATGGAAACTAAAAATCTATAGCAGAAGGAAAACAGGAAAATCCACAAATACATGGACATTTAAAAACTCACTCTTAAGCAACTAATGAGTCAAAGAAGAAATCACAAGGGAATTTAGAAAATGTCTGGAGATAAATGAAAATGGAAACACAATGTACCAAAACTTAGAGGATACAGTGGAAAAAATATTAAGAGGAAATTTTATAGCAGTAAACACATTTAAGAAGAAGAAAGATTTCAAATCATCAACCTAATTTTATACCTTAAAGAACTAGGGAAAAAACTAAACCAATTAATTAGCAAAAGAAACAAAACAATACAGATTAAAGCAGAGATAAATGAAATAGAGAAAAAAAAAAAACAACAATACCAAGAGTTGGTTTTTTTAAAAATGTCAAACAAATCGACAAACCCTTAGCTAGACTAAGAAAAGAGAATATTCGACTAAAATTAGACATGAAAATTATAACTGATGCTACAAAACTAAAAACAATTATAAGAGAATACCATTCACAATTATGCACCAACAAATTGAATGACCCAGAAGAAATGGATAAATTACTAGAAACATACAACCTTAGACTGAATCAAGAAAAAATTAAAAATCTTAACAGATCTATAACTAGTAAGAAGACTGAAGCAGTAATCAAAAACCTCAACAAAAAAAATTAAAAATTTAAAAAAGTTTAAAAAAAACCTCCCAAAGAAGAAATGCCCAGAACCAAGATGGTGGAGAATTTTATTAAACATTTATAGAATAACTAACATTAATCCTCCTTGAACTCTTCAAAAGAATTGAAGAGTAGGGAACACTTCCAAATTCATTCTATGAGGCCAGCATTACCCTGATACCAAAACCAAAGACATAAGAAAACTACAGATCAATATCCCTGATGAATATTGATGGAAAAATCCCCAACAAAATATGGTACAAGCAAACCAAATTCAACAGCCCATTAAAAAGATCACACACTATGACATGTTGGACTTATACATACCTGGAATACAAGGATGTTTCAACATAGGAAAATCAATCAATGTAATACACCACATAAACAGAAGGAAGATAGAAAACCACATGATCATCTCAATTGACGCAAAAAAAGCATCTGACAGAAATCAACACACTTTCATGATAAAAACACTCAACAAACTAGGAAAAGAAGGAAACTACCTCAACATAATAAAAGCCACATACGAAAAGCCCACAACATCATATTAACTACTATTAGAGACTGAAATCTTTTCTCCTAAGGAAGACCCTGGGCTCACTAAATTTTTTAGTATCCTCCTACTGAATTCAAGAACTAAGTTGGACGATGCCTTCTTAAAAGAAGAAATACTAAGATATCCACTCTCACCGTTTCTATTCAACATAGTACTGGAAGT